GACATTGAGACTTGGTGACATTGAGATTCAGACTTGACATATGAGCAGCAACATTGTGGGGGACTGTTTTGGGATCGGTATCGACGACATTTTGGGTTGGCGACATCTCTCCCTCTCCCCCCCGCCCCTTCGTCTCTCCTCCCACCTCCTCATCCATGTATGTCGGTGCCTGGCGCTTCGTCTGTGTGTGTGTTAGCGCCAGGTCCCCCTTCACACCGTGTGATGAGCTGGTGTTCAGTCTGTGTCATGACATTGATTGGATCTGATTATTGGTATTTCAGTCTTCCGCTGTGCTATCCTTACTACATCTGTGAGTGGTCGGTTCTGGGTTCAGGTCTGCACCATATTGGTATGCGACAGAAAGCCTGCATGCCACCCTGCACTTCGCTCTTCCAAAAAGTACTTGGGAGATAGGATGGCAGCCAGGCTTCCCGGGTCACCTTGTTTTCCCGGATGACGCGGCCGTGCAAGGACCCCAGCAAAAAAAAAAAAAAATCCAAAAAATCGCGAAAAACTATGTTATGCAGAAAAATAAATTGAATCAGGGTCACATTGAAATTACCAAATGTAAAATACAATTTTTTTTTGTTTTTGTTTTTGGTGCCCAGCCGGGCAAGTGGTCCCGGGCCACTCTGGTAGCCTAGCTTGGGAAACAGTATCCTTTTTTTTTGGGGGGGGGACCATTTCTCGATTTATGTGTGTCATCCTTTCACAGGGTCCATGCTAATCGTCTCTGTACTGTTCCAGTTTTAATGGATGTCATTGTAATTGTATTGTTTTTAAGTTTTTCACGATTTTTGGAACATTTCAACTTTCAACTTCAATCAGCATGCAATCACACACCACGCACAGTAGGACATTCATATGAGAAGTCACACTGGACACCGAGAGATGAAAACCAAAGCCGCTGACTGAAATCCACACCGAATTATTGTATTATACAAAGAAACTGTTTGTATCCTCCAGTGACACGTGCCGCACACCATCCAAGTACAGATCAGGTATGTATCTGCTCCCCTCTCCCTCATGTGTGACTCTCCCTCTCTCTCTCTCATGTCTTCTATCACTCTCCCTCTGTCACGCTCATGCTCTCCCTCATGGATCCACCCTGAATACAGCTGCGATGTACTCCAAACCTCTGCGGCTATGACCAACTTCTTGCTCCTCCCAAGCTACGGTAACCAGACGTCTCGTTCCTCGCTGGGTACTCACTCCTCCTCTAGCTCCTCCTCCCATCCATGTCGCACTGTTGCACAAGCAACCCGCAGCGGTTTCGCAATTTGCGCATGAGTAGTTGATCCCACTGGCTGATGCGGCTGGGCTTGTATACTTGCCGATCCGCATTCCAGACATCTTCTGGTGGTTATGGGTTGGCCCACTTGCCCTTGTTCCCTGCTTCTGGAAGCTCACAGACTTTCTTGGGTGGGCTGCTTGTGTGGATCGACTGACACCTCGCCTCATGGCTCTGGTGATCCTGGCTGAAGTTGTGGTGCCTCCTAACGACCTCTTCAACCCATAACTGTTATCGACCAGGGACTTCCTATCACGATCTACTTAACTAGCTCGCCTAGCCCTCTACAGTCATGGTACAAACGAAAACTTCTCTTCTTGAGTATTCGTGCATATTGTACAAGTGGCTGGAACCACTAATAGAGCAGGGAATGGAATTCCGAATTAGAACCTGGACCTCAGGACCAGGACCTGGGACTCAGGACCGGAACCGGGGACTCTGATACAGAATGAAATCGGTCATTCCCCCCCCCCCCCCCACTCCCCCCTTCAATATACAGTCTATATTGTTGTTTCTGAATGAACGCTCCTATTATCAAACATTTCTGACCAAATCCATAGCGCGAATTTGATATAACAAGCACTAGCTCCCAGTGCAGCCTCATTTGCTCCCTAAACTTCACATTACCTGTTTGTATTATTGCCGCCTCAATCCTGAGAACGACACCACCATATTCGACAATAGCACCCGGAACAACTCCACCATGTTCAACAACATCAGGGCCTACGGGAGCCTCCTTTCCTTTCTCCTTGCTTCAGTCCTTCACTGGATGTCGTGCCTGCTGGAATGCCGTGTCCAGCAGCCCATCAACCATTGCCTTTCAACCCCACTGACATCTCTCGTACCTCCATGTGCCAGCTATCATGGCTAGCCACAAAGGCAGGCTTTTTGATAAAGCGGATCTCCGGAACCCAGTAGAGATGTAGTAATAGGACAGCGGTGACAATCTCTTGAACTATCTATGCCTCTTCACAAC